TGGTGCTGAGGAATCGAACCCAGGGCCTCATGCATGCAAGGCAAGCACTCTACCACTGAGCCACCTTCCCAGCCCATGTTTACCTTCTTTATCAATGAAACTTTTAACAAAGCATGTCATTCTTTCTATTGGTCAGTATTAAAGTAATAGTTGCTGTAGGGCTTAGTGTCAACTGTGGGTCTCCTACAGTTGTTTTCTAAGCAGATTGCTGGGGTGCTTTATAATGTCATTTACATAGTGTGGGGATAGTTTTTACATAACAGAAGTAAAACACATTAGATGACAGGTAGTAATGAAATGGTTCATAGAGAAAAGTGCTACAATTTGAGACTTCTTACCAAATCACAGGTAAGATTTATTTGTGTAGATATAAAATTCAGAGTTTATCAATATTAGGAACTTGACAACATGATGGTCTCTAATGTGTTATTAAATATGAAGATAATGTCTTATTGTTTTAGGAGATAATCAGTGTGCACATTTGCAGTAGGACCTGAAAAACCTTTCTTTCTTGAGCTTGGATATACTATATAATTAAAGTAGAACATGGGCTTTGAGGTTTTTAGTACTGAGAGAGTACTTCTAAATTATAGAATGCATTCTATCATGTAATGTGTTCACAGAGACATGCGTGTTCTCTGATAACTTTTATCTTGTTTATTCTTTCTTAGTTGCTGATGTATTTTCAAGATGAGTGGACTAGGAGAAAACTCCTTGGATCTGTTATCCACAGATTCACGAAAACGCAAACTGCCATGTGATACTCCAGGACAGGGGTAGGTGATTTATTTCCAGATGTGTCACCCTTGGCCCTTTTTTCCTTGTTTTGTGTAATTTCCCCCCCAGTAGTAGGGATTCAACTCAGTGCCTTGTGTCTGCTAGGCAAGTGCTTTACCACTTGAGTCATACCATGAGTCTTGGTTTTGTGATATTTAAAGATAACATCTCAGTTTCCTATTTGCATTCTCTCATTACACTAAAAATATTTCCACTAAATAATGTTTGGCTTTGTGGTAATGCAGTGGTACTAAAGCCTTTTGATATAGTTTGGTTGTTGCTGATTTAGACACAAGGCAGAATATTCTTGTAATTGTCTAATACTTTGAAGAATTTCTGAATAAAGTGTTTAGGAATAAGTGGCCAGTATTAGTACAAGTAAGAAGTTTGGTACCCTTTAAAAATACAAGTTTGTATTTTGGCATTGTGAGGTTTCACCATTCTTACCCTGAATAAAATTAGAAATCAGAAACAAAATGCTGTCATTCTATAGTACTACTCAGTTTAAGTATTTGCCAAGGTCATTGGCATTGAATTTGAACATATTACTGGAATACTAAGCTCATAGAACTTAATAATTAATCCATGGTATTATTGTTGTTATTTGTAAGGAATATTCTTTTTTATGCATTTTTTTATTTTTTATTTTATTTGTGAAGATACTGTACAGAGGGGTTACAATTACATGGGCAGGAAAATGCGTACATTTCTTACCAAGCATTGCAGCCTCCTCCTTTTGTTTACCCTTCACATCCCTTCCCAGCCTCCCCCCTCCCCCCAAGTAAGGAATATTCTTTACCTCCTAGGTAAAAACTATTTTCCAGATGAACTAACAGGTTAACTTTTTTCCCAGGACTCTTGGCTAATAGAAAGGTGGAATTCATTTTAGGCTTTTTTTTAACCATGGTCATTCTTCTCTCTTAACCGCAATTGTTAGCTTCTATTGACTGCGTTAGTTTATTACCCAGGAATGTTAGTGTTGCATAGGGGAGGTTCTGCTAAGCTTTGTATGGTAGGTGTATCATGGCTTTTCTCCCTCTTTTTAGTCTTACTTGCAGTGGTGAAAAGTGGAGACGAGAGCAAGAGAGCAAATATATTGAAGAATTGGCTGAACTGATATCTGCAAATCTTAGTGATATTGACAATTTCAATGTCAAACCAGATAAATGTGTGATTTTAAAGGAAACAGTAAGACAGATACGACAAATAAAAGAACAAGGTAATAGAAAGTAAGAAAAACAGTCAAGTCTTTCTAAAGGAACTTGTTACTCCCCCTTCTCCCTTCCTTTTTCCTCCCTCTTGGTGTTGTTTTTTGTTTTGTTGTTTTTTTTTTATTGTTGATGTTGCTGCTGAAGATTCAAACCAGGGGCTTAACTCATGCTAAATACATGCATCTACCACTGAACTATGCTCCAAGCTCCTAATTGCCTTTTTGTTTGTTTTTCCGTTGGTCAGTCATGGGGCTCGAATTCAGGACCTGGGTGCTGTCCATGCACTTTTTCCCTCAAGGCTAGTTACCACTTTGAGCCACAGTGCCACTTCCAGTTTTCTGGTGGTTTATTGGAGAAAATAGTCTCACAGACTTTGCTGCTGAGCTGGCTTCAAATCATGGTCCTCAGATCTCAGTCTCCTGAGTAGCTAGGATTGCAGGCATGAGCCACTGGCACCTAGCCTAATTGCCTTATGGTAACTTGTTTAGGTAGAGACTACAATTGAAGCTAGAGTTAACTCTCTTGACTATGACATTTTTAAGATTTTAAACTGTTGTGGCATCATTTTCAGGAACTGTGTGTGTTGTATTTTTCTATATTTATATCTGTTCTGGGGGTTACTTGGACTTAATCTGTAGTGAGTGTATGTGGTTTTCATTGGCTCACCTTCTGATTCTTCAGGAAAAGCAATCTCAAATGACGATGATGTTCAGAAAGCTGATGTGTCATCTACAGGACAGGGGGTTATTGACAAAGACTCTTTAGGACCACTTTTACTTCAGGTAAGTATAAAGATTATTACTGTTAAAAGTATCCCACTGTTCTGTGGTATTGTAGTGATAAAATACTTTTTTGGTTGGGTCTGAGAACTAAAAACATCTTTCTGTGAGACAGTGAACCCAATATTCTAAGCACAATGATAAAGTGTCTTTTTAGTCTTAATTGCAGTGTGTGTGTGTGTGTGTGTGTGTGTGTGTGTGTGTATTTTATTTCCATATATAACTTAGGGGGCCCTGCCCCTGATAAAAACAAACCTAGAAAGCACACATACAAAAGTATGAAAATAAAGGAGCAAGAACGGGAGGGTAATTCATAATTCCACAAAGGTAACTCAGTATTTTATAGAGGTGATATTTAGGTATATTTTAGCATAGACCTTTTTTTTTTTTTTTGAAATTTTATGATCATAGTGCAAATGTGAACTTTTTTTTTTAACTAGTCCTGGGGTCTGAACTTAGGGCTTAAGGGCTGTCTCTTAGCTTTTGCTCAAGGCTAGCACTCTTATCTCTGAAGCCACAGCACCACTTCCAGCCTTTTCTGTTTATGTGGCACTGAGGAATCGAACCCAGGGCTTCATGCATGCTAGGCAAGCACTCTGCCACTAAGCCACATTCCCAACTCCAAATGTGAACTTTTTAATTTTAGTTTTATTTTATTTTATTATTTTATTTTATTTTTGGGTCCGGTTGTGGGCCCTGAACTCTGGGCCTGGGTGCTGTCCCTCAGCTCTTCAGCTCAAGGCTAGCACTCTACCGCTTGAGCCACAGCTCCACTTTTGGCTTTTTTCTTTTTGCTTATGTGGTGCTGAGGAATCAAACCCAGGGCCTCAGGCATGCAAGGCAAGCACTCTACCACTGAGCCACCTTCCCAGACCTTTAGTTTTATTTTATATGTTGTTGTACCTAGGAATCAAACCCAGTGCTGTGTACGTTGTATTCTATTGAGTTACCCTACCTCTCCATTCCATTTTCTTTGTGGGAATTTTTTTTTTGCTGGAATTGAACATGGGACATTGAAAAGACAGACAAGTATGCTACCACTGAGTTGTACTGAGACTGATCCTGGGGCATTGAACATGGTAGACAAGGTCCTAGGAATTTTGTGTGTGTGTGTCAGATATGGGGCTTGAACTCTGGACCTGGGCACTGTCCCTCAGCTCTTCAGCTTAAGGCTAGTGCTCTACCACTTGAGCTACAGCACCACTTCCGGCCTTTTCTGTTTATGTGGTGCGGAGGAATGGAACCCAGGGCCTCATTCATGCAAGGCAAGCACTCTCCACTGAGCCACCTTCTCAGCCGATCCTAGGAATTTTTAACAGGTACCATATATATATATAGCAAAAAAAATAATAAGTTTCACTCGAAGACAGCGGCGGAAGCTGTTTATGTAGTTAAACTTGTTTTTGTTTCAGCTAGGTTATTTCTGTTGCTTTTTTTTTCTTCCTTCTTCCAGTCCTGGAGCTTGAACTCAGAGCCTAGACACTGTCTCTGATCTTTTTTGCTCCAGGCTAGCACTCTACCTTGAGCTACAGCGCTACTTCTGGCCTTTTCTGTTCATGTGGTACTGAGGAATCAAACCCAGGGCTTCATGCATGCTAGGCAAGCACGCTACCACTAAGCCACATTCCCAGCCCTCCTGTTACTTTTTAGCTGGTAAAGTTTTATATTACTTTGTACAGTTTGATTAAGAAATAGTACTGGCTGGCTACTTACCACTTGGAATTATAAGGCAGGAAGATTTGGGGTTTGTGGTCAGCCTTGGCTACATAGCAAGACTTTGTCTCAGAAAAATAAAAAAATCTAAGCGTGGTAACACATACCCAAAATCCTAACCCTTGCGAAGTAGAGTCAGAATGATGTTTTCACTCATGTCTGGCATTCTACCACCTTCATTTAGGACTTTTGTGTAGCTAATTAGACACTAATCTACCAGTCTTGTGTGTCTGAGCTGCTTTACACCAAAATTTTCTGATCTCAGCCTCTATAAGTAGATAGGATTATAGGCGTGAACCACCAACTCTGGCTAAGATTTTTTCCTTATGTTTTCTTTACCTATATTAGTATTGTTTTAATTTTATTTCTTAAAATCTTTTTTAAAAAATTCTTACCATTACATAGTTTATGTGCTATTCTTGGTGTAGTTTTTTATTTTTTTTGGGGGGGGTTCCAATCGTGGGGCCTGAACTCTGGGCCTGGGTGCTGTCCCTCAGCTCTTCAGCTCAAGGCTAGCACTCTACCACTTGAGCCACAGTGCCACTTCTTGCTTTTTTCTTTTTGCTTATGTGGTACTGAGGAATTGAACCCAGGGCTTCAGGCATGCAAGGCAAGCGCTCTACCACTGAGCCAACTTCCCAGCCCCTTGGTGCAGTTTTTTAAACTCCTGCATCTTCTCATCATCTTCACTTTTCTCCCTCTTTACTAGACTTTACTACACTTCTTCATTTTTCCAATGCACCGTCTTTATTTTAGTGTTGTCACTTTTATCTTATTTAGACAGTATACATTTTTTTTTGCTGTTTTCTCTTTCACAGGTATTGGTGTAATAGTAGTAGTTCTGGCTTGTTTTGGTGTTGTTACTATTATGATAGTTTTTGTTTTCTCTTCTCTGAGTGGCACTGACAATTGAGCCCTCAAGAGAAGGCTGTTCACAGCCCCAAATAAAACTGGAAGAGATATCCATTCTAATGGATAGACCAATTACATCTTAGAAATACAAGAAATATGAAAAAGCAAGACAACATGAGTCTTCCAAAGGTTCAGAACTCTTTGATAGCTGAATCCAGAGATACTAAACTGATTGAAATGTCAAGTCAAATATCTAGTTTTAAAAATGATCAGTGACCTCAAAAAGGATTCAGATACAGCCAGGTGCCATAGCTTACTTCTTTAATCCTAGCTATTCAAGAGGTTGAGATACGAGGTTCTAAGCCAGCCCCAGTAGGAAAGTTCTTGAGACTCTTACCTCCAATAAACTACTAAAAAAAGCCAGAAGTGATGCTGTGGCTCAGGTGGTACAGCACTAGCCTTGAGCAAAAGAGTTCAGGGACAGTGCCCAGGCCCAGAGTTGAAGCCTCAGGACCAGCCAGGAAAAAAAAAAAAAAGTTTATTTAAGACCAAGAAATTTGGGGCTGGGAAGGTGGCTCAGTGGTAGAGTGCTTGCCTTGCATGCCTGAAGCCTGGGTTTGATTCCTCAGCACCACATAAGCAAAAACAAAAAAGCCGGAAGTAGCTCTGTGGCTCAAGTGGTAGAGCGCTAGCCTTGAGCTGAAGAGCTGAGGGACAGCACCCAGGCCCAGAGTTCAGGCCCCACGACCGCCCCCCCCCCAAAAAAAAAAGACCAAGAAATTTAACAACTGGGATGAGAAATTCATCAAAGGATAGAAATTCTAAAGGGGGGAGGGAATGAATAAATACAGGAAATTAGTTGCTCAGTAAATCAAATAAAAACTCAATAGACCAGGCAGAATGACTATCAAGGGTTAGATGCAGGTTGAGGAATTATTACATTCAGATAGCAATAAGTAAAATAAAAATAAAAGCAAGCATGACCACAGCATCCAAGACCTTGGTGATACAATTAAGAGATGAAATCTTTGAATCTGTGGTATAGATTTGAGAGCCAAGATACTGACTAAAAGCATGTGAAACTTATTCAATGAAGTTATAAAAATAGAAAAGGAATTATAGCAGAAATGAAAGTATAGTAAAAAAGAAATGGACATCAAAGTATATGAGGCATTTAAATACACATGATCAGAGAAGAGCTACTTTTTTAAAATTAAATTTTATTTTATTTTATTTTTGTTGGTCATGGGGCTTGAACTGTGGGCTTGGGCACTGTCCCTGCACTCTTCAGCTCAAGCTTCTACTGCTTGAGCCACAGCGGCACTTTCAGTTTCCTAGTGGTTTATTGGAGATAATTTCCTTCCTGGGCTGGCTTTAAACCATGATCCTCAGATCTTAGCCTCCTGAGTAGCTAGGATGACAGGTGTGAGCCACCGGCACCCAGCTCTACTGTTTTATTTTAAAGTGCCTCGAGTACAGAACCAAGAAGCAATATTGAAAGATGCAGAGAGAAAGCATCAAATTACTTATAAAGACAAAACTATCATAACAATAGACATCAAACAGAAATCCTGAAAGCCACAAGAGCATGGACTGATGTCTTTTTTTGGGGGGGGGTCCGGTCGTGGGGCCTGAACTCTGGGCCTGGGCACTATCCCTCAGCTCTTCAGCTCAAGGCTAGCGCTCTACCACCTGAGCCACAGCGCTACTTCCAGCTTTTTTTCTTTTTGCTTATGTGGTGCTGAGGAATCGAACCCAGGGCCTCAGGCATGCAAGGCAAATGCTCTACCACTGAGCCACCTTCCCAGCCCTGGACTGATGTCTTTAAAGCTCTGAAACAGAATGATTTCCACCCAAGACAGCTACGTTCTTTAAGAATCAGATCTTCCAATCAAGTAAGCATTGTAGAACACACATAAAAGAATACTACACACAGAAAATAATACACAAGATGAGAGCTTAGGAAAGAATAAATCTCACTAGGATAATAGATAAATGAGAAGTAGGAAAGTATCAAACATTAACTTAGTAAACCAACAAAGCCCTAAGATGAAGAAGGGAAAAAATAGTACATACCTAAAATATAAATGGAAAGATACAGACTTAAGGTGGGCACCAGTGCCTTTCACCTATTTTCCTATCCACTCAGGAGACCGAGATTCAGAGAGATCACACAAATTCTAATACAGCTGGGCAGAAAAGTTTGAGACTCTGTCTCTAAGAACCAGCAAAAAGCCAGCCTGGGGGCGTGGCTCCGCTGATAGAATGCCTGCTATCTGGGCAAGCGAGCCTGGTGAGCCACTGCATTGGCATTCACCACTCAAAGAAACAAAACAGAACAAAAGGACAACAAAAAACCAGAGAAGCTTCTTTCTGGTTCCTGTAATACTGGAATGTGCCAGGTGAAGGGCCTAATGGGTTGGAGGTGGAGTCAGTTCTCAGTGTTCAGTTTGGTGGTGTAGGGAGACCAAAGGGGCCAAGAGTCAGGTGATTAGGGTCAGTCCACTTCATGTCTGCATTCACTTTAGAAGTTTCACTATTTTGGGTATTGAGAACTGCTTATGGCCCCAATAAGTAGTCTGTTTGTTCCCATTTTGTGTACTCTTGGTTGGCATATGTTCAAGTCTACGGCTGTTCCTGCAGTGTGTGGGAGAGTAGGGGTGGCAAACAGCACTGAGCTGTGCACTGGAGGGAGAAACCAAGTGAACCCCACATTCTGCTTCTGCAGGAAGCCTGCATGCGGCAGGGAGGAGGCTGGAGAACTCAGGGACCCACCAGACTGGGATAGGGGACAGAACGTTGTACCCTATCCCCCTGTAGAGGAAGAGTAATTCACCAGCCACAAGTTTGGAACTGTTTCTGCAGGTGATGAGGCTCACTCCTTTTCTGCCTGTCACCACACCTCCACAGCTCAGGCTCCTTGCTCAATTTCTTGCTCCTCAAACTTCTTAGCTCCAGTGGGTTTGTGTACAGCCCTCCTCACAACTGGCTGTCTCCCACCTAGACAGCCTGTCTCCAGGGTCCTTGAGTTGTGACAGTTCCTTGTTTCCAGAACTTCTGAGTAGCTCATTCCTAAACCACAGATGGTGCTAACCATAGTACTCTGAAGTATAGGGAATGACAAAATGGGTACTGGGTTGCACAGAGTCAAGTCACTGTACACCAAATTCCCCTGCTACATTGAAGATTGTGAGAGCAGTGGGCTTATCTTGTGCCTAGATTTTGCCCCCAGCCATTTGTCATTATGGCTACCTGGCTTGCCTGGTGTTCTGTCTTTGTGCTCCACCTCTCCTCTTGGAATGGAGCTGTATTTGTTCCTTAATTTTCTTTGTGTAGCCTTTGTTTCTCCATGCTCTTCAGCCCTGTTTGGTCACCATGTTTGTGACTCTGATACTCTCCTTTCTCTATCTGAAATTGAGTCTGCCTTAGTTCCTCTGACTCTTCTCGTTCATGAAGGCTCCTGGAGGAAGCTTCTGATCTGCCACCTTACTCCTCTTCTTTACTTCACCTGGGATCGAACCTAGGATCTTGTGCTTATTTATTGGGCAAGTGTTTTACTACTTAGTCATGCTTCTAACCTTCCTTCTCCACTCCCCTCCCATTATTTAAAAGCTCCTATGAATCTGTAATGACCAAAAAGTAGTCTAGACATTGTGCCTTTTCTATATTCTGTAGTAATGATGTTAATATAAATTGAATGGTGGTGGTAGTGATTGTAAGTCAGCAGTAATGTTTCCCAGTTTATGTATTTACTAAGGCTATTGTTATTAGTCAGCTAAGCCTCCCTAACAAGATCAAGGTGTTGGCAGGATTGGTTTCTCCCAAGTTCTCTGTTGTGGTTTGTCACTGTCTTTTTTTTGGGGGGGGGGTTGTCGGTTGTGGGGCCTGAACTCTGGGCCTAGGCACTGTCCCTCAGCTCTTCAGCTCAAGGTTAGCCCTCTACCACTTGAGCCACAGCACCACTTCTGGCTTTTTCTGCCTATATGGTGCTGAAGAATCGAACCCAGGGCCTCATGCACGCAAGGCAAGCGCTCTACCACTGAGCCACCTTCCCAGCCCTGTCACTGTCTTTTTTAATGGGCTTTTCTGTGCATTCCTGGTGCCTTTTTAGTTTCTTCTTGTAAGGATACCAGTTATATTGGATAAGGTTCCTACTCTATGATCTCTGTTGTTCCTAATTACCTCCTTAAAGGCCCTACCTCCAAGTACAAGTCACATTGAAGGGGAGGTGCTACAGTCATGTGCTTTTGGGGGAGGAGCTGCAGTTTGGTCCATATCAGCTTCCATTAATGTATCCCATTTTAGGCATTGGATGGTTTCTTGTTTGTGGTAAATCGGGATGGAAACATTGTATTTGTGTCAGAAAATGTTACCCAGTATCTGCAATATAAGCAAGAGGACCTGGTTAACACAAGTGTCTACAATATCTTACATGAAGAAGACAGAAAGGATTTTCTTAAAAATTTACCAAAATCTACAGGTAAGTTTTTTCTTTTCTTTTTTGTTTGTTATTTGTTTGTTTGTTGTTTTGAGACAGGTCTCACGCTATACCTAGGCTGGCCTCGAACTCCTGATCTCCTGCATCTGCCTCTCAGTTGCAGGGATAGCAGGTGTACACATGCCCAGCTACAGTTAGGCTCTTATAGTGTGCTTTCCAGACATATTTTATAAATTTCCCTGATTTATTTAATTAATTTATTTTTTTGTTGATCATGGTGCTTGAACTCTGGTCCTTGGTGCTGTCCCTGAGCTCTCCAGCTCAAGGCAAGCACTCTACCACTTGAGCCACAGCCCCACTTACGGTTTTCTGGTAGTTAATTTGTAGATAAGAGTCTCATGGACGTTCCTGCTGGCTTTGAACTGCAGTCCTCAGATCTCAGCCTCCTGTGTAGCTAGGATTATAGGTGTGAGCCACCAGCACCCCACTGATTATTTCTTAAAAACTTGAAAGTACATTTTAGGAAGACCTGGAAACCAATTTCTTTGAAAAAGGAAGTGATTAATAGCAAGATTTTCAAATATGTTCTCATTTAACTGAAATTTTGGTATGCATTTTAGTGTACCAAACATACAACAAAATTCTGCTAAAAAGTTGAAATTATTCTGAAATGTTAGTATAGGTATTATGACAAAATTAATGGGAAAGTTTAGCTTCAGTTCTCTTTCGTTCATTTCTATGACAGGATTCTTGCCCTGTTGTCCAGGCTGGTCTTTAGCGCCATGGTCCAAACAGTCTTTTCTCCAGCCTCCTGAGTAGCTATGACTACAGACATGTAGCTTGAATTATTTTTATGTATTTTAAATGTGGAGTACTTCATTAATTTGCATGTCATTCCTGGACAGGAGATGTATTAATCTTCATCATTTCAGTTTAGTACATATGTGCCAAAATGACTATATTATTACCTTGAATTCTTGATGATAGATTGGAGTTACCATATTTATAAAAAAATCATTTCAATTTGTTTCCCAAAGTTAATGGAGTTTCCTGGACAAATGAGACCCAGAGACAAAAAAGCCACACATTTAATTGTCGTATGTTAATGAAAACACATGATATTTTGGAAGACATGAACACCAATCCTGAAATGCGGCAGCGATATGAAACCATGCAGTGCTTTGCCCTGTCTCAGCCACGCGCTATGATGGAGGAAGGGGAGGGTAAGAGCATCATGTTTGCAAATCTGTGTTGCCCCAGCAGCCATACTTGGAGTTTTGTGACTTCACTGTTATAACTTCCTTACTGACATTTGTGTCCTGGCCTGTTTGTTGAATACCTATATCCAAAAGTAAATAGAGCCATTATCTGGCTGAATTTTGTATTGTAGACTTGCAATCCTGTATGATCTGTGTGGCCCGACGCATTACTACAGGTGAACGAGCGTTTCCATCAAATCCTGAGAGCTTTATTACCAGACATGATCTTTCAGGTAAAAACGGGGTGTGTATGTGTGTTCATTTTCACTCTTTAAGTTACACAGTTCAAATAATTGTGACTATTTACCTAATAATATACTCAAAATTCTCCAAGTTAAAAAAAAATTATAGAGGTACCACAACTTTTCTCCAAGTAGCGTTTTTTTTTTTTTTGTTGTTGTTGTTGTTGTTTTGGGTCCGGTAGTGGGGCCTGAACTCTGGGCCTGGGCGCTGTCCCTCAGCTCTTCAGCTCAAGGCTAGTGCTCTACCACTTGAGCCACAGCGCCACTTCCGGCTTTTTTCTTTTTGCTTATGTGGTGCTGAGGAATTGAACCCAGGGCCTCATGCATGCAAGGCAAGCACTCTAACACTGAGCCACCTTCCCAGCCCTCCAAGTAGTGTTTTGCATCACAATTTAATTTTTTACTTTAACTTGTAATCTGTTATAAAGAAAAAAGTTTTGAAAAAGCAGGTAATTTATTGACAACTTCTGAGTAATTTTTTTTTTTTTTTTGGTTTGGTCAGTCATGGGACCAGTTCTCTACCACTTTGAGCCACAGTGCCACTTTCGGTTTTGTGGTGGTTAATTGGAGATAAGAGTCTTAAGGAGTTCCTTAACCAGGCTGGTTTTGAACTGGGATCCTCAGATCTCAGCCTCCTGAATCACTATGATTATACGTGTGAGCCACCAGCACTAAGCTTCTGAGAGTTAATTCTTGATATCATCATGAACTTCATTCTTGGTCTGCCAATTTTTGTGACCACAGAAATCAAGAATTAAAGACATCATAGTTGACCTGGGCATGGTGGTGCATACCTGTAATTTTGGCTCCAAGAGGCTGAGACAGGAGGACTGTGACTTTCAGGCTGTCGTGGGCTACTTAGTAAAAGTGTCTTAAAACAAGCATGCAAAAACAAAGAAGAGGGGCTGGGAAGGTGGCTCAGTGGTAGAGCACTTGCCTTGCATGCATGAGGCCCTGGGTTCGATTCCTCAGCACCACATAAACAGAAGAAGAAAAAAAAGACAGAAGTGGTGCTGTGGCTCAAGTGGTAAGAGTGCTAGCCTTGAGGTGAAGAGCTGAGGGACAGCGCCCAGGCCCAGAGTTCAGGCCCAACTGGACCACCGCCCCCCCTGCAAAAAAAAAAAAAAAGAAGAAGACGAAGAGACATCTAGTTGATAAGGCACATTGGCGATGTTAAACAGGATGACAGTGTTACCCATACTCACCATCAAGTTTGCTAGTGGTGATACCAAGGGCCTGTCACATATGTTCTATGTCAGACATGAGAAAACCCAGGCTTGGGGACAGTGAGGCCTTGCTGTTTTCTAACATCATGACTGATAAGAGCTTGCAGCTGATCTGCTTGACTTAAAGCCTATATTCTTAGCTTTATGTAACACTGACTTACCCGCAGAGTGAACCCTTGGTAATTAACATGATAAAATGGAGTAGTTTTAAACAAAGAAAACATTTCTATAGCTATTATAGGTGTGTGTGTGTGTGTAGGACATAGGTAACGTACATATATTGTGTTTTGTAAGAAATAGCTATTTTCATGCTACCCATCCTTGTATCTCATCTTCAGTTAATGGTCTTGAGGCTGCTTGAGATAAATTTTCACAAATGAAAAAAATAGCAGAAAAGGAGTTTTGTATTTTGAATTGCCAATCTCTTTACACTGATGGATATTACTTTATATTGACTAAATTTCTCTGTATTTACTTGCCTTCTGATAATGGTGACAGGAATTGTAAGTGTCATATTTCCAGAATGGATCTCTCTGTACCTCTTAATATTTTTTTTTTCTTGTCCTGGGCCTTGAACTCAGGGCCTGGTTGCTATTCCTGAGTCTTTTTGTGCTCAAAGCTAGCACTCAACACTCTGAGCCACAGTGCCACTTCTGGCTTTTTCTGAGTACAAGTCTCACAGACTTTTCTGCCCAGGCTGGCTTCAAACTGCTATCCTCAGATCTCAGCCTCCAGAGTAGCTAGAATTACAGTCTTAATTTTTATCTAAATAACTGTTTGCTACTGAAAATACTAAGTAAAAATACTTTTACCTAAGCAGTTTATATCATTTTTTTTTTTTTGAGTCCAGTCGTGGGCCTGAACTCTGGGTCTGGGTGCTGTCCTTCAGCTCAAGGCTAGCGCTCTACCACTTGAGCCACAGCGCCATTTTCAGCTTTTTGCTTTTTGCTTATGTGTTGCTGAGGAATTGAACCCACGGCCTCAAGCATGCAAGGCAAGCGCTCTACCACTGAGCCACCTTCCCAGCCTTACCTAAGCAGTTTAATGACTGGCATCTTCAAAAATCATCTCATCTATTACTTTATTACAAAAACAATACCTATTTACTATAAAAGGAGTTACTGAACTAGAAAAACTTTTTTTTTTCTTTTTCTGGTTAACATCATTTAAGAATGAGAGCCATCTTACCAAAGAGTTGGTAGAGTTGGTGCCATCTAGCTGTCTGTTTCACAGGTTTGGTGCACACAGAAGTACTTCCTTTGGCTGCTAGAGAAACTTTATCCTCGGTCCCTCATGTGTTTCATTCAGTGACATGTGGCCTACCACTAAGCTCAGAGAAGGTGGTTGAGGACATACCTTTCCTAATCTCTGTTGTAGTGCCCAGTATTTTCTCTTTCCTGTCCTGCATTAGTTCCTTTTCCCTACTTTTTTCTCCATTAATGATTTTAAAACATTATTCACTAGTATAACTCTGGATTTTTGTATGTAGTTCAATTCTAGAGCTGGCTTAGCAAGTATAAGCCCCAGGTTCCATTTTTAGTATTGCAAAATGTCTGACTTGACAACAGCTTCTTCAGACTTGAGGCTCATCTCTGTTAGAGCATTCTACATTTGTCCTTTCTCATTGCGCACGTGGTTCACTTTCCCCTTCTGCCATGCTGGGGATGGAATCCAGGGCAGTGCACATTCTAGGCAAAAGCACTCTAACACTGAGCCATAGCCTCAGCCTCCTTCTTCACCACCAGTAGCTTCTATAGAACTACTGCTTAGGCCAGACGTCTTTCAGTTGAAGAAGATCATGAGTTTTTTAAGTTTCCAAACTCAGTTTTCTTAAGCATTTACTCTGTTTTAATGAACATATTATAGAGGTTGAATGAATTGGTCTTTCCTAATTTGAACGAAATCAATTATATTGTTGATTACTTCTTTCAAGTCATTTGTGGCCTCATGAGTCATGAGTTTCATCATCTTCAGGACTTAATAGCACTGTTAGTACTGAATGAAAGAGGTTTTTTGGTTTTTGAGTACTACTGCATTTTTTACTAAAACCTGGACAGAAAAGACAGGTAACTACTGGTAGGTTTTTTTTTTTTTTCCTGTCAGTCATGGGGCTTGATCTCTGGGTGTGGGCGCTGTCCCTGCGCTCTTCAGCTCAAGGCAAAAGGCAAGCGCTCTACTGCTTGAGCCACAGCACCACTTCCGGTTTTCTAGTGGTTTATTGGAGATAAGAGTCTCACAGACTTTCCTGTCTGGGCTGCCTTTGAACCACGATCCTCAGATTTCAGTCTCCTGAGTAGCTAGGATTACAGGTGTGAGCCACTGGTGCTCAGCAACTACTAGTAGTTGTGATACTAATATGAGCTTCAATTAAAAATGCCCAGTTTCTGACTGAGGAACACATTTTATCCTAAGTACTATCTATGTCATGTAAGTTGATCAGTTTTTGGCCTGGACATCTAAATGCAAGCCAACGAGGTCCACTTCAAAAACATAAATCCCCTGGAAAGATGCCCCTTTCAGGCATGTATCTTTTCCAGTCCCTTGATGTGGCCACCAGCCTTGAGGCTCACTAAATTCTTTTCTTCAAGCTTCCTTCCTGATTGGACAGAGGGCTAAAATCATGAATCCTCTAGTCACTTAGGCTTTCTGGTGACCAGCTCCACCTTGTGGCAAGGATTCTTTTTAGCCACTAAGATACTCATATTAGGAAATGCCAGGATCTAGGGGATCTAGAGGGACAGATACATTACTATACCAAAGCAGAATATGTCACTGTGAGAGCTTCCTGCAGGACTGTGTCCTTAAGGAGAAAAGGCAAACAAATTTGCAGAAGGCAGAGTAAGGATTTAATATCTTTTATTTAATCCTCCAATGCTAACTCATGGGTGTGCAGCAGTAAATACTTGACAGGATTTGAATCTTTTATTTTCTATATAATAGGAAAGGTTGTCAATATAGATACAAATTCTCTGAGATCTTCCATGAGGCCTGGCTTTGAAGATATAATCCGAAGGTGTATCCAGAGGTTTTTCAGTCTGAATGATGGGCAGTCATGGTCCCAGAAACGTCACTACCAAGAAGGTAAAGACATTTGGGGTTTGACGCTTGGTCTTGATTACTGTTGGTTGTATGTGCTCCAATAACTGTATGCATGATATTTGTGTATATAATTCTTGAGCCTACCTACTTTTTTGCTGCATATCTAATCTTTCACATGGCTTAAAAATTTTATACGTGAAATATGATTTCTTTCTCCTCTCTATATGTATTTGTTTTGCCAATTGTTGATATTAGTAAGTAATAGTGTGTTTTCCCACAGCTTACATTCATGGCCATGCAGAAACCCCTGTGTATCGATTCTCCCTGGCTGATGGAACTATAGTGACTGCACAGACAAAAAGCAAACTCTTCCGAAACCCCGTAACAAATGATCGCCACGGCTTTGTCTCAACACACTTTCTTCACAGGTAGAGAGGTTACATTTTTGTTAAGTGCATCCGTTAGTATTAGTGTAAAAAGGCAAACAATAAGAGAGAAAGCAAGATGGATGGATTTTGGTGATGTGATTTTAGATTTCTAGATTGTTTTCTTTAAGGTTATATTTTTATGTAAAAATATTTACTCACTAAATAATTCCTGGGAGATGGGAAGGCTAATGGATTAAAAAAGTGTATGAATAATTACTTAGGTGGTCACAAAGTGATTACTTTTTTTTTTTTTTTGGGTCCGGTCATGGGGCCTGAACTCTGGGCCTGGGCGCTGTCCCTCAGCTCTTCAGCTCAAGGATAGTGCTCTACCACTTGAGCCACAGTGCCACTTCCGGCTTTTTTTCTTTTTGCTTATGTGGTGCTGGGGAAGTGAACCCAGGGCCTCATGCATGCAAGGCAAGCACTCTACCACTGAGCCACCTTCCCAGCCCCAAAGTGATTACTTTTGTGTTACCTTTTATTTCTAGTGATTTTAGGGACTCAATTGAAAATACATTTAATTACTAACAAAAGAAAGCACCAGCTGGGTGCTGGTGGTTCATAACTGTAATCCTAGCTACTCAGGAGACTAAGATCTGAGGATCATGGTTCAAAGCCAGCCCAGGCAGGAAAGAGTGTTTATCTTTTGATTATCTTGAATATTTTCCAGATACTTGCAGGGTAAGCTAGATATGCAGCAAAATTCAGGTAACATGGCTATGTTGGTCCTGGGCAGTACTGTGGTGGTACTGATTATTTGTAATTCCCAGCTTATTAAAAAGTATTATTATGTTAATTTAGTGATCAGTACTTAAATTGGACTTATCACTAGGTATTAGAATGGCACCTAATAGAAATTATTTCCCCAATTAGTTGTTACTTCGTTTTCTCTTTTCACTTCCTTTGTTCCCTCAATAATCCAATCTCCTTTCCTCCGCTTCTCTCCCCTCCATTTTGTATTCTTCTCCCAAGTCTGAGTCACTGCTTTAATGCCTGTAATTTTTTAGTAAAAGTTTTATGTTGTGTTTCTTTGCAGAGAACAGAATGGGTATAGACCAAACCCAAATCCTGTAGGACAAAGCATTAGACCTTCTGCAGCTGGATGCGGCAGTTCGGTAGGCAGCATGAGCATGTCGCCAAACCACAGCTTACAGATGCTGAGTGGCAGGGCCTATGGCTTGGCAGAGCCCAGCACCACAGGGCAGATGAGTGCTGCTAGGTATGGGGCTTCCAGTAACATAGCTTCACTGACCCCTGGGCCAGGCATGCAGTCACCGTCTTCCTACCAGAACAACAACTATGGGCTGAACATGAGTAGCCCCCCACATGGCAGTCCTGGTCTTGGCTCCAACCAGCAGAATATCATGATCTCTCCTCGTAATCGTGGGAGCCCAAAGATGGCCTCACACCAGTTTTCTCCTGTTCCAGGTATTCTTGTTAGCATTTCCTTTCATTTTTTTTCTTTTCATACCACTGTACTTCTGAGTAAATCAATTTTATGAAAGACACTTTGAAGTGTTTTGTTGTTGTTGTTGTTTTTATAATGTCTGATAGTGCAATTCTCTTTCTCTTCTTCACATCTAGGTGTGCACTCCCCTATGGGATCTTCTGGCAGTACCTCAAGCCACAGCTTTTCCAGCAGCTCTCTCAGTGCCCTGCAAGCCATCAGTGAGGGGGTGGGGACGTCTCTCTTATCCACTTTGTCTTCACCAGGCCCCAAATTGGATAATTCTCCCAACATGAATATGACTCAGCCAAGTAAAGGGAGCAGTAGTCAGGATTCAAAGAGTCCCCTAGGCTTATACTGTGACCAGAATCCAGTGGAGAGTTCAGGGTGTCAGTCAAATAGCAGAGATCACCTCAATGACAAAGAAAGTAAGGAGAGTGGTGGAGAAGGATCTGAAAATCCAAGGGGGCCTTTGGAAAGCAAAGGCCATAAGAAGTTACTGCAGTTACTTACCTGCTCCTCTGACGACCGAGGCCATTCCTCCTTGAACAACTCCCCTTTGGATTCCAGTTGTAAAGACACTTCTGCTAATGTCACCAGCCCCTCTGGAGTCTCATCCTCAACACCAGGAGGTGTGTCCTCCACATCCAATGTGCACGGGTCACTATTACAAGAGAAGCATCGTATTTTGCACAAGTTGCTGCAGAATGGAAATTCACCGGCCGAAGTAGCCAAGATTACTGCAGAAGCCACGGGGAAAGACACTACCAGTGTCACCACCTGTGGCGAGGGAGATGTCAAGCAGGAGCAGCTAAGTCCAAAGAAGAAGGAGAACAACGCTCTTCTGAGGTACCTGTTGGACAGGGACGATCCTAGTGACACACTCTCTAAAGAGTTACAGCCCCCCGTGGAAGGGGTCGATAATAAAGTGACTCAGAGCAGCAGTTCCACCATTCCCAGCTCCAGTCAAGAGAAAGATGCAAAGATTAAGACAGAAGCAAGTGAAGAGGTAATTTATTTTCTCTGTGCCATCTCAGGGGTTGCATTTCATTATTTCTGTGTTAGTTGGATAATTCAGTATAAATTACGTGTGTGTGTGTGTGTCTGTGTGTGTTACCGAGTTTGAATTTGGGCAACCTGATTAGTCAAGTATTGTACCACTTGAGATACACTCTCAGCCTTTTTCCTCCCCCCCTTCCCCCCATTCCCCCAGATAGGTCTTACACTTTTATCCAGGCCAGCCTTGGACAGAGATCCTCCTACTTCTGCCACAGTCCTGTGTGGCTGGAATTACAGGTGTGAATCATCATGCCAGGCTTGTTTTTTGGGCTAGTCTTGCTAACTTTTTTGCCCTGGTTGGCCTTGAACCTACTATTTCAGCCTCCCAAGTATTGCTAGATCATAGGTATGGGCCACTGTACTAGCAAAGTTAGTTGTTCTTGACTTTCATTTTTTTAGTAATTTTTTGGGGTGTTAGAAAAGTGTTATGCAATTTAGAAATGTGTATTTTCTAAAATGTGAGTATAATTTTTTTTTTGAGACGGTCTCACTATGAAATAGCCCAAGTTGGCCTCAAACTTGGAATCCTCCTGTCTTAGCTTCCCTGTCATAGGTGTGTACCACACCTAGCTAAACAATTTTTTTTAATGGTATTTAGAGTTGAATCTAGGGTCTTGTGCTTTCTAGGAAAGTACTCTAGCTCTGGAGCTATGCTCCACTCTACAGCTAACAGCTCTTTTTTATTAAGGTGTTCATTGTTGGAATGAGAAGGTGGGCTTATTAAGGGCTTGGTAGAATGTGGATTTAGCACCATCATTTTGATTTTTGCCTAGTGATCCAGTTCAGGTTATAACCACACTGTATGCCAGCATTTCTAAACTGCTTGTGGAGCTATATTTTAGGAGATATAAATATTCACCTGGGCAAATGAAAGGCTTGGAGAAGTCTTCTTGGATTTAACTTCACTAAACCTAGTGTTTGTCAGATTTCTACACTAGGTTTGCTTTATTGCTACTTAGGAATGTCTTTTTAAGCACCAGCCTGTCACTCACTATTAATCATGCTGTTTATAGAAGGTATGAGTAGAGTCAGATTTTTTTTTGCCAACTTATTAGGACTCCTTTGGTGCAGATTGTTAGCTGAAAAATAACCTACAGTTTGAGAATTAAATGTTTAGGGCAAATAGAAAAAAAGTGGCCCATTTGAAAGCACCAAATGCAGTGAGTGATTTTACCAGTGGCTCAAGGAAAATGAAGAGTGGGCTCCTAAGAAACCAAGCTTAAATGAGACATTTTATCTCAGGTGGCTGCTGTGTCATCTCATGTGTTTCACTTCTACAGCTAAACTCAGCAGTGTCTCAAAGGAGCGCATGTGGGCTAATCTTTAACATTTTACTTTCAGGGATCTGGAGACTTGGATAATCTAGATGCCATTCTTGGTGACCTGACGAGTTCTGACTTTTACAGTAATAATCCCATATCCTCAAATGGCAGTCATCTGGGGACCAAGCAACACATGTTTCAGGGAGCTAATTCTTTGGGTAATTCAGAACTAGATTTTGATTTTTTTGTGTGTGTGTACTGTACGTATGTGTATAATTATACTAAGACCAGGTATTATAACTAGGGTTTATAACCAGAACAAATACCCTAACTGTAATATACTAACTACTACTTAGTAACACATGTGGGGTTTTTTTTGTTTTTGTTTTGTTTTACCAGTCCTGGTGCTTGAACTCAGGGCCTGGCCACTGTCCCTGAGCTTTTTTGTTCAAGGATAGCACTCTTCCACTTGAGCCACAACACCACTTCCAGCCTTTTCTGTGTATGTGGTACTGAGGAATCAAACCGAGGGCTTCATGCATGCTAGGCAAGCACTCTACCACTAAAGCCACATTCAAGCCGGTAACATATTTGTTTTTGAAAGCTTTTTGGATGTTCCCCCTCCACCCCCCCTTTTTTTTCTTTAAATTCCCATTTTTCAGTAATATTCTAGTAGCCATGACACTGAGAATCCATGTGAGTAGTAAATGCTAGAGCATGTGCTTTGTTCAACCACAGAGAATTTGATTAAGACCTAAATGATACATATGGCAGAACCACGAGGAATTTGGAACATAAGGACTTTTCTTTCTCTCCCCTTTTTGGCTATTTATTTGCTGGAGACAATGTCCCCTCCCTTCACTTCTACTCCCCTTTCCCTTTATTTTCTCATGGGAGTTGGGGACCAAACTCAGGACCTTCTGCATGCCTAATTTCCTCTGACACTGAGCCACTCCCACCAGCTTGGTGGATATTTCAGTATGAAACGAAGAGTGCCCAAGCAGGTCAGCCAACACCACAGTCATTTATCTTGTGTTTGTTTTTGTGAGAACGGCATTCTTGTGTGGGTAATAGTGGTGTTTGTGTCTGGTACTTGATTATTTTCAAGTATTGAAACAAGAGACCTTTATGCATTGTGCTTCTGTGTTTTCAACAGGTTTGAGAAGTCCACAGTCTGTGCAGTCCATTCGTCCTCCATATCACCGTGCAGCGTCTCTAGATAGCCCTGTTTCTGTTGGCTCAAGTCCTCCAGTCAAAAATATCAATGCTTTCCCCATGTTACCAAAGCCACCCATATTGGGTGGGAATCCACGAGTGGTAGATAGTCAGGAAAATTATGGCTCAAATATTGGTAGGTCACTTCTAATATGTACAAATGATTAAAAGTTGCTTTGGGAAATACTTAAAACCACTTAAATGCTTGAGTTAAGTAACAAGTTTTTTTATATCACTCACATATTATCATTAATATAATGTTTCCTTCATGACTGTCCTTCATTTATTCTATGTCTTGGTTATTTAAAGTCTTAAATCTTCTGATTTTTAGGACATTTTTCTAACCTATGATGAGTATGTGGGCAGAGGGCCTATTGAAACCATCTTCAGAGTTCACCAGTCCAGTTCTTAGGACGACAAAGTGTTTTGTCACAGCCACAGTTGTTGTGTGTGTATAATAGCTGTATCTGTGTGATAATGGAAGAATTTTTATTATGTATGGAAAAGACTAAGTCCTTTTTTTCTGTTCTAGGTGGACCAAACAGAAATGTGACTGTGAACCAGACACCATCCTCAGGAGACTGGGGCTTACCAAACCCCAAAGCCAGTAGAATGGAAGCCATGAGTTCAAACTCCATGGGAAGACCTGGAGGTGATTACAATGCTTCCATACCCAGACCTGCAATGGGGGGCTCTATGCCCACCTTGCCTCTTCGGTCTAATAGTATACCAGGTACAAGACCAATGTTGCAGCAGCAGCAGCAGCAACAGATGCTTCAAATGAGTAAGTATACCTTTAATAAAAGAAGAGAAAAGAAAGTGAGATGTGTTAAGACTAATTGTTACTATTGACTCGTTTGAAAATTTAAACTTTCCTTATGTTCCCCCAGGGCCCACTGAGATTCCCATGGGAATGGGAGTCAATCCCTATGGCCAAGCAGCACCATCTACTCAAACAGCTTCCTGGCCAGATAGCATGTTGTCCATGGAACAAGGCCCTCAAGGGACACAAAACAGGTGGGACTGCAGAAAATGTAAGCAGTAGATTTAGAAGAGTCAGAATAGGAACAATCCTGAAAGAGAACATAGTAAGTTCTTTATGATTGAGGTGCTTGGTTACTGGCTGCTGAGGCTTCCACAGGGGAGGGGCAAGACAGAACTGTACTGTGCAGCTTCAAGGTACTGCTATTGCAGGAGAAATGACTTCTTTCCTAAAACCATGAGGAGGATAAGGTGCAAGCATTTGACAAATACATGCGTATTCTTACCGTTTTTATTAATACTGTTCAGAGGGTATGCCTCAGGTTTTCTGAGAAATTTTAAGGATTGAATTTATTTCCTAAGATCATTTAAAACATTTCAGGGATGTAAAGCCAGGACTATAGTCTGTATAGTCTGTATTTTATTTTTATCTATTTAGTGTTTTATTTACACCATCTGGGGCCACCATCCAAGCCAATTACAACAAAAAACTCTGTTGGCAGTCCACCACACTGTGTTCTTTGATAGCAATATTTCTGTCCTTTCTTCTGTTCTTCTGAGGACTCCCCAACTTTAAAGTATGCTAACAAGTATTCTTTTATTGAAAGTGGCACCTTCTCCCACCTTTCCCATTCCCAGTCTCTGCTATCCCCAAACACCTAGGATCTGGCATTTGAAGTTTTGGCATTGGGGATATTAGCTAGGTACAGTGGTGCTCTAAGATAGCCTGGTGAGGTTTAAAAATAATGAGTCTTCACAGTAAATTTGCCATTTACTGTTCACTGCTAGCAGGTTTATTAATATCTGTAGTATGTGTAGTATGTATGTATGTAGTACGCGTAGTATCTGTAGTACTATTGAACACTAAAAATATTGTGCATTGTTATTGTGATCATTTTTCAAAAAAGCTGATTTTTCTTTCCTTTGTGGTTCTGGGGATCAAACTCAGGGACAGGTGAATGTTAGGCAACAACCCCAGCTTCTAACACTATTAAAATTGATCACAAGCTTCTCTCCAGGCCTCTTCTTAGGAATTCCTTGGATGATCTTCTTGGACCACCTTCTAATCTGGAAGGCCAGAGTGATGAGAGAGCATTGTTGGACCAATTGCATACACTCTTGAGCAATACGGATGCCACAGGTCTGGAGGAAATTGACAGAGCTTTGGGCATCCCTGAGCTTGTCAACCAGGTGAGTTGGATTAACATGGAGATGGAATGTGTATGAGTGTACCATAAGTGTGCATGTTTGTATGTCCAGGAAAACAGGCAAAGGACTGCCTGTACCAGTGTCTTTCCTAGTCCTAGAGTACCAGCTTTAAGCAAAAAAAAAAAAAAAAAGCTAAGAGACAGTGCCCAGGCTCTGAGTTTAAGCCTCAGTACCAGCACCAATAAAATCCCCAAAACAAACCCCAAAACCCCAAGACCAAAAAGCTATGTAAAGAAAGTTTCAGAAGAGATATGGCAAACTAAGAAGTCTTTAGACAGGAGAGAAGTTGGGGTTCTGGAAAGCAAGCAAAAGTCAGCAAGATCAGATGGAGAATGGTAAAAAGAGGTTTATTTTGGGGAGCAGTTGTTACTGGAGATTGAACTCAGGGGCCTTGCCCCAGGCCTTCAGATTTTTATCTGCCCCCCCCGCCAATAGGCTCAGGAGTTTTTTGTTTTTTGGGGTTTTTTAGTTTACCCTTATTACAAAAAAATGACTTCATGTGAACCTTGAAAATCATGTCTACAAATTACATAAAACTTCATTGATCACAATGAAGTGTGTATGTGTGTGTATGTGTGTGCATGTGTGTGTGTGCGCGCGCGCATGCTGGTCCTAGGGCTAGAACTCCTGAACTTTTGTGCTCAAAGCTAGTGCTCCACCTGTTGAGCCACAGCTCCACTTCTGGTATTTTGGTTATTAATTGAAGATAAAGAAGCTCATGGACTTTTCTGCCTGGGTTGGCACTGAACCATGATCCTCAGATCTCAGCCTCCTGAGTGGCTAGGATTACAGGTGTGAGCTACTGGCACCCAGCAGGAAGGCATTTCTTTTCCTTTTTATTTCTTCCCTCCCATTATACATTTTAATTGGTTTATTTTCTATATGGACTTGGGAAGTCCATGTTCATTAATTACAGAAATCTGATTTGGAGCAAATAACGTCTTTTTCTTCAGACATTTAGATATGAGAGTCTATGCTAGGCACTAGGATACAATTCTGAACAGAAACTTCAGATAATAAACTTGTTGATTTTGCTTTTGGAATTCTAAAGCATTTGTTCACATATATTGGCTTTATCACCTTCTTTAAAATGTTTGCTTTGGGTTGTTTTTGCAGATGTACTAACTATTGTTCATTGATGTATTTGATGTCCAGGGACAGGCTTTGGAGCCCAAACAGGATGCTTTCCAAGGCCAAGACGCAGCAGTGATGATGGATCAAAAGGCAGCATTATATGGACAGACATACCCAACCCAGGGGCTACCAATGCAGGGGGGCTTTAATCTTCAGGGACAATCACCATCATTTAACTCGATGATGAATCAGATGAATCAGCAAGGCACTTTTCCTCTCCAAGGAATGCACCCTCGGGCCAATATCATGAGACCTCGCACGAACACCCCAAAGCAGCTTAGAATGCAACTTCAGCAGAGGCTTCAGGGCCAGCAGGTAACCAGCCAGCCAGTCTGGTGCTTGGATATTGCTCCTTGGTTCCACTTAGCTTGTTTCATTGGTCTTCAGACTACATTCCTCAGCTGTCTACCTGCACCAACTAGAGAAATTCACTTTGTTCTCATTCCTGTATAAGATTTCATTTGCACGAATGGTTCCTTGTCCAGGAGTGTTTGTGATAGAATTAATACCTTTATATCTTACAGGTTAAAAATGCCAGAAAGGATATTGTTCTGGGGGGAAAATTGTTTGTTGATAACTTTTTAGTCTGAAATATACTTTTCAAGTCCTTAATACTAACAACCAAATAAAACTATCTTGATTGTAGTCTGTGTGCCTCCCCAACCCCCCACCCCTTTTTTTTGTTTTAGACTGGATCTTAGGTAGCCTATACTAACGGCCAGCTCACAGTTCTCATGCCTCAGCCTCCTGCCTGCTGGGATTAGAGGTGTGTTTTACTACAGCTGACAATTTCCACATATATTTTTTTTAACAGAAGCTATTTTTTAGATGTTTTGCAAACATCTAGATGTTTTATAAAACTAGACCCTTCCCCCTGAATGTTTCAAGATAGAATTTGTTTTACCCATTAGTTCCTTAATCCCCAACTAGTGTTTTAAAATACAATTACTTGTGTTTTGTGTCTTTAAGTATGTGGAATTAAGGGATGAAACTAAACCTTATACATAGAAGAGTGACTGGAATTTAGGATCCAGGAAGCCAGAGACTCTAGTTCATAAGTGTTTTTGTTGTTTTTTTTGTTTGTTTTTGTTTTCGTTTTTTTGGGGGGTCCGGTCGTGGGGCCTGAACTCTGGGCCTGGGCGCTGTCCCTCAGCTCTTCAGCTCAAGGCTAGCGCTCTACCACTTGAGCCACAGCACC